AAATCATGTTCGTATGAGAAGAAGTAAATTGATTATTTCTTGAAAATTAGAGTCCATTTTGGAATTTCCAAAATTAACCTTCCCCTCCTAAGCCTATAAATAAAAGGCTCTCATTAGGGGGAAATGAGATACATTTCTTTGGCTAATGGTTTTGAAGCTTCTAAACAATCTCGAGACTCTGCTAAATTCTCTCCTTAAAATTTTCTCTAAGTTCCTTAGACTTAAAAGAAATGATTATCAAGCACTCTAAACTTGTGCCAATCTTTTCAAGTTGCAAATGCAAATTTGGTCTCTCTTTTTCAAGAGGTCATTTCAAGACTCGTTCGAGATCAAGCCGTTCAAACCTGAGATCAAGCATTTCTTCTCCAAGTCTTTCCATTTGAAGACTTGAAGAAATTCATCAACTTGTCTAGTTCAACAATAAGCTTTTACAACTGTTAAATTACGCCCATTTCGGAGATCGAATCAGATAATTTTTTCTTTTGTAATAGAGTAAACCACAGAGAATTGTACCGATTTGTTATAATCAAATAAAATTAATTATTTGTGCATTTATTTCGCGTCTTAATTGCAGGATATGAAATTTTTGTTTATAATGCCAACTTTCTCATCAAAGTAGGAAAAAAACCCGCATCGATGCAGGAGTTTGGTTTGAGTTTTATTTTTAGTGAATGTTATTAATATTTTAATCAATTTTTTAATATTTTAGATTTACTATTTAAATAAATTTAAAATGTATAAAATTTGTGAAATTAAATACAAAAAAATATACAAATATAATATATTTTTATATATTTACTATTTTTTAAAAATTTATTTACAAATAATTTATTTTTTTAAGTATATTTATTAAATAAAATTTGAAATAAAAATATTTAAAAAATTTATTAAAATTTAAAAATATAAAATATAAATTAAAACTTAAAAAATTATCTTTAAAATTTCAAAAATTAGAAAGAGGGCCATCCCTATCCAAGAACTCCAGATGGGACAATAGAGTATGGGATGAGCTCCCTATGTGGGGTGTTTATCCAGTACTTTCGGAGTATGAACACATAATGCTCCATAAGATTTTAATTGGTGGATGGAGAGGTATAAGGGCCCACAATTCATGTTGGGGATGGGGACACAACATGGGGCTAAGTAATTGGTAATCGGGTTGGAGTATGGTCACGTAGTGTTCCGGGAGTATTGAATAATTTCCTCCTATGTGTGGATTCATCTCTCCACATTCCTTCATATCCTTTTGCCAGTTTTAATTTAGACTAATACCAATAATTTAAACCATTTATCTCGTAAATTTTATAATGTCATTTTATGTAAGAAAATTAATTTCATCAGATATTTATAAACACATGAATAAATCACATTTTGTTTTATAAAATGAATGACAAATATGATTATAAACTCAAACCATCAATTTCATAAAATAAAATACGATTTATTCTCATGTTTATAATTATCCGATATAGTTGATTTTTAATATGGATTGTTAGAGAAAATAGATAATTTCCCATTAGTATAAATCAATCAAAGGAAATAAAAAAACTAATACGGAAAAAAATTAAATTAATGACACAGAATTTTTATGTAGTTCTCTCAATTTGAGGTATATACATGAGACCGTAGTCCAATTCCACTATCAATCAAGAGTTTACAAACGATTACAAACAAGATATAAAAGTCTCACAAATACCCTTAAATAAATTTCAAATTATCACAAATAAATAAAGAAAAAATTTTGTCAAAATAGATGAACAAATATCTTCAAACAAACTATAAAAGACCCAAGATAATGGACCTAACAGTGACTGCTGATATGCTCCCAAAACTATCCATGGGAAGCAGAACAAAACAGAAGAGCAAAGCACCTTCGATGAAGAGTTGATAAAAAGACAAAGGCACTTCTTCCAAGCAATGAATCAAGATTGCTAATTATTGTTGTTGACCCAATCAATACACACTCATCCATTTCTTTTCAAAGAAACTGATTGAGGTCGAATTATATATCATTTTGGCCGGTAATTAGGATGTTTTAATCTTATTCTTCAGTCAATTTATACATTTTATATTTGTTTAACGTCAATCAGGTTGGATGTAGTAGGAGTATAAAATGAGCAAAAATACAATTTTTTAGCAGAAAAGTGCTTCCCGCACGTAGGAAGGACCATTTTTGCATGTGTGGCCCATCTAATGAAGCCAAATGGAGTATACAAAAATCACACATACGGAGGGTTTTTCCCGCACGTGCGGTGGAATTTCCCGCACGTACGGCCGTACCTCAAAAGTTGTGCGTGATGTTTTGAATTTGTTTTGAAAAGCTGAAAGTATAAAAGGAAGAAAAAAGAGCTGAAATAGGGTTTTGAATTTTTTTTCCAAAGGATATAAGGGGCTAAGGTTGGAAGAAAAGGGTTTTAACTTTCAAGAATATCTCCCATATGGTTTCTTCTTCCTCTATCTCTTCTCACTCCTCTATGAGTGGTTAGTTCTTCTCTTTTTAAGGTTTTGATGAAACCCTAGCCAAGTAAATAGGATTTTCTCTTTGGTTTTTGATTATGTAATAGTTTGAACGAGTTATATGGTATTTAAGAAGTTTTAAATATATTTTTCAGCATTCTCTTCAAGTATTCTACTTTCTGTGATTGTTGTATACTTTCCATGCAATGGTTTTCTATTTTCATATTCAAAGTATGAGACAAGTCATACTACGAGGGACAAGTTGGGTTGCTCCCCCAACTTAGAGTGAACGACTCGTATTATTTGAGATTGTTTGTGCCTGTACATTGAACGTGATAATTTTCTTTATCAATATTTCAAATTTGTAATTGTGAAGTATTATTTGGTTCGAACCATAACACAATTTATTTTCAATTTGAGACCTTATTCATGTAACTAGTGGTGAATTCATAACCGTAGGATTTTCTTAAAATCAATAACTCCAACTTCAATTTTAATTGTCATTTTAATTTCTTAGTTCATTTTAATTATTGTTAGTCTATGAACCATCCATCTTGTTATCAAAATTAATTTAGAAATTTAACAATTAAATTAGTTTAATTTCATATTTGTCTATGTGGATCGATATTTGAACTTATCGCTATTTTAAGAAATTTGGTACAATTTAGTGTTTATTTTTGCTATGTAAAACGACCTATCAAAAACCCTCCACCAAATTGATATATACATATATATATATATATATATAAATATATCAATCTGCAGCAATACTTCCCAAATGAATTGTTGAACTGCAACCAAACAACTCAATAATGCTAGTTGCCACTAATTTGAATAAATAAACTCCAAAAAGTCAGATATAATTGAGAAAATCAACTGTGTCCCATATCCTAATAAAGTACACCTAACTTAACGCTTATAACGTTTATAAAGTAGGGGATTTGAATTATTTGTATGAACCCAGATTAGAGTCCATAAAAATAGTAAAATGTGCAATGAATCAGGATTGCTAATTATTGTTGTTGGCCCAATCAATACACACACAGCCATTTCTTCTCAAAGAAACCCCACCCAATTGACATGTACATAAATAAATATATCAATCTGCAGCAATACTTCCCAAATGAATTATTGAACTGCAACCAAACAACTCAATAATGCTTGTTGCCACTAATTTGAATAAATAAACTCCAAAAAGTCGGATATAATTGAGAAAATCAACTGTCTCCCATACTCCACTGAAATATATCTAACTTGACGTTCATAAAGTAGGCAATTTGAATTATTTGTGTGAACCTAGATTAGAGTTCATAAAAATAGTAAAATGTATGGAGAGGAGCTTAGCACGTTTAGTTCATAAATTTAGAAGGAGATTTAGAAGAAAAAACAAGAAGAAAAAGAAAAAATAGGTAAAATATTAATAAAATTAGGGAGATTGACCAATAAGTCTCATATTTTAGACTTGTGAGATTTATTGCTCTTTTTAATACCTGCCACATTTAAATTTTCTTGATAGATCATTTGTTGTTTGATTCATTTGTTGTGTAATTTATCGTTGGAGTGTCACTCTATTTTCAAAAACTCTATTTTCTAAATCTCACTTCAAATTTATAAATCAAACAAAGTGGTAAAGGGTTTGACCAATTGATATTGTCCTTTTATTTAAGGATAAATTATGCTTGGCACCCTTACACTTTATACCAAATTCCGCTTTGATTTCTACATAAGAAATCATGACAGTTAACCCCCTATACTTCTAGTCAAATTTTATTTTGGTCCTTACACATGAAATCGTGACAGTCAACCCCTACACTTTTAGTCAAATCTCATTTTAATCCTTACACAAGTGCCAATGTCTCCATTCTGAACTACATTGTTTAAATATTTAATAGAATTTAGTTATGTGATAAGAATGTGAATATAAAATGAGAGTAAGAAAGGAAAATTATTCATATTTTTCACCAATACATACTTTGTCTTACATGATAAGCACATGAGAGTCATATAATACAATATATGTATATATGTTCATATGTTGAAAATTGAGACGAAAATATAAGAAAATAGAGTTTTTGAAATAAAAAAGAGCAATAAAGCAATCAAAGAAGAAGAAAGAAGAATATACAAAAGATTGTGTTACTGTACAAAATAGAATTTTCTGATTCTAATTTATGCAAAACTTTAGTTAATCTTCTCAACCATTCACAAACTGTATTTTTTTTAGCTTAATACAATTATAATTTAATATAAATTTTAAGATAATGTGTATTGGTAGAAAACTGGAATGATTTTCTTCTCTTAATCTTATTTTATAGTTACATTATTATCACATGATTGAATTCTGTTAAAAATGTAAACAATGAAGTAATAGAACGGAGACATTGACATGTCACGATTTCATTTATAGGGACCAAAGGGGGATTTACTAGAAATGTAAGGAGTTAACTATCATAATTTTATATATAAAGATCAAAATAAAATTTGATACAAAATATAAGGGTGCAAACTGTAATTTACCCTTTATTTAACTTTGAAAATTTATCAATGCCTCCAAAATTTTGGCCACTCTTCTTTCTCTGCAATGGCTTCAACTTTCAACCCCAGGTCTCTCTCTTCTCCTCCAAACCCTTCAAAACCCTCCTCTCACATCCCCACTCTCCAACCCCCACACAAAACCATAACCCTACAAACCCCCAATTTCACCATCTCCGGCGGCTCCACACTCTCCGGCCACGTCTCCATCAGCGGCTCCAAGAACTCCGCTCTCCCGATCCTCGCAGCCACCCTTTGCTGCTCAGGCACTTCGAATCTCAGAAATGTCCCTGATTTGTCTGATACTCGCACAATGTGTTCGGTTTTGGGGTCTTTGGGAGCTGAAATTGAGGATCTTGGTGGCGAATTGGTGGTCAATACTGATGGGGTTCGATCGGTTGAGCCTTGCGAGGATGAGATTGGAAAGATCAGAGGTGGGTTTTTCGTGGTTGGGCCGTTGTTGGCTCGGTTTGGTGAGGCTGTGGTGGGGTTGCCTGGTGGGTGTGACATTGGGGCTCGACCCATTGATCTGTATATTCGAGGGCTTCGTGCTCTTGGTGCCATTGTCGAATTTAGGTTAGTATTTCAATCATTTAATTTCTAATGTTGTAATGTAGCCTTTTAGATATAGATTTGGTAGTTTTAGATAAATGCATTTGAAAAAACTTGGTGAAGATAGTTGTTTAAAAGTCTTCCACAAATGATTCTACTTGTATAAAAATATTAACAAAATGTATCTTCTCTATCTCTATGTCTTCCTTTACTTTAGAATTATCAATCTACATTCTATAATTAATTTTCCTACAATTTTAATGTTGAACAACCTCAAATCCATTTATCCAAATGGAGCCTAAATGTTCTTTTGTACTTATTTGGTGAAGTTCTTGTTGCTTATAACCCCAAAATTATTAGTAGTGTATAAGATTAGGTGCACCATTTTTATTTTTATTTTCATTAATGCTCTGCTCTAATGGAAAACATTTTCTTCCAAAGAAAACAATTTTCTATGTTTGGTGGTGGTGGGACTAAGGTGGAGGTGCACATGCAGGGGGTGGGGGTGGGGTTGGTGGTGGTGGTGGTGGAGGTGGTGGTGGCCGTAGTGATGGTGATGTGGTGGTGGAGGTGGTAGTGTGGTGACATTGATAAGGCTTTAGTCTGGAAAATGTTTTTTGTCTTTTAAAAACAAAAGACACTTTTTGGCCAAATAGATTTGTTTTCTGTTGGCCATGGAAAATGTTTTCAGTTGATTTTCATTTTCCATTATACCAAATGCTAGAAAATACGGAAAACGGCCCAAACAATTGAAGCATAAGTAATCATATGGATTCTGGTATTGTTTGCCTACCCTGCAGGCTGCATCCCTATGTTTTGGCACCATTTTCCGGCACTTTAGCACTGTGATCACTTGGTTGATATGCTCATTCAGCCAGGATTTAGAAGCTTGGCTTTTGCACTACTTTGCAATTTCATTTTTTACTATTTATATTGCATGGAAATGTGTTCATTCACTTTTACATCGTGTCAAAAAAGCACTAAGTCCATAAAAATTTGAATGCCTGCTTATAGCAGGGAATGGGAAAGGTAGTAGGTAGAGATACCTTCTTGATGAATAACAAATTTGTCATGAGGGATAAAGGATTCAAGATGAAGGATGGGGTCTCCTTCCCCCTCTAAAAAAATATATATATAAAAAATAAAAATAAAAATGCTCACAGAGGTAAGTGAACATTACCATAGAGTTTCAATCTGGCTAGCGCATCTTCCCCTTGCTTGGAAGAGCATTCACCCAAGGGAAAGTAGTCCCACTTTTAAGTTACTGCCATGTTTCTGATTTTTTTCTTATTTAACCTTAGTTGCTTGATTTTTCAATTACGGTTTATTTTTTTAACTTCATGATCCATAAACAATCAGTTATGATTGATTGGGGCAATGACACAAACACTTGCTAAATTATATGTCAAGGCTGAGTTGTACCTTACGAAATATTACAGGGATGGGAAAGTACATGCACATGCTGCAAACGGCAAAGGGCTGATGGGTGGAAGGTTCCGACTCAATTACCCAAGTGTGGGGGCCACCGAAACCCTTATGATGGCAGCTTGTATGGCTGATGGAGTGACTGTACTTTCCAACGTTGCTCGAGTAGGATATAAAAAATCTCATTAAATTCTTATGTTTCTAGTATTAAATTCGATCATTGAAGTGAAATCTACCCTGATTCTCTCTCATCACAGGAACCAGAGGTGATTGATCTTGCTCATTTTCTGATTGCCAGCGGAGCATGTGTGGAAGGAGCGGGCACTGACAAGCTTCTTATCAAGGGAAGAAGTCGGTTGCACGGTTCTGAATATTCCATAATACCAGATCGCATTGAAGCCGGCACCTTTATGCTCGCTGCTGCAATTACTCGATCTTGCATCTCAATGTCACCTGTTGTGCCTTCCCATTTATCGTGTTTAATAAACAAGTTGGTAAATGCTGGTTGCAAAATTGCACAATGCACCCATGACATGCTGGAGGTATGATATTTTTTGTTAGTTATATATATGGTTTTTTTTATTTTTTATTTTTGCTTTTTGTTTGTTGTGTTTGATTGCAATACCAGTTCTCTGCAGTTCCTGCTAAAGCCAGAGATGTTTTGCATGGTTTCAATATTAGAACAAACCCTTTTCCTGGGTTTCCAACGGATCTGCAACCTCAGATAATGACATTGCTTACAACATGTGACGGTTTAAGTATGGTGAAGGAATCTGTGTTTGAAAACCGTTTGAGACATGGTTTGCTTTTAGTTTTGCCTTCTGATTTTAAATTTCTTAATCTAGTTACAAATTCACGCTTTGTCTGTCTGGGTGGAAAATATTTTATGAAAACTTTTTCCACATTTTCTGGGGTTTAGTACCACAGAAAACAAAAATTAACGGAAAACAAGTTTATTTGTGGGGTTTAGTACCACAGAAAACAAAAATTAACGGAAAACAAGTTTATTTGGACAGAAAATGATTTTCACTTTTGTTAGGTGGAAAACATTTTCCAAATAAATGTCTTACCAATGCCCTGACACTACTGCCACTGCCACACCACCACTAACGACACAACTAGCACACACTAGGGGGGAAAAATCCATAGAAAACATTATCTGTTGGAAAAGATTTTCCATTGAAACAAACAGAGCGTCAGTTTCAACCCGAATAATGGAATGGCCATTACCACTTGCCAGACCTTCTGACTTTGGTGGCTGATATTGTGACCATGGACGGTCTTATATTGCAAAATGATACAGTGACGTCCTTGGTTCAATATTGGTGGTATCTAGTTTCCATACTATGTGATATTTAGTTATCTCAAATATATGGATAGTTTCTACCTTATTATTATTCACCATTTGCTGTATGTCTTATTTGATCAAACCATTTGGAACAGTAACAGAACTGCAGAAGTTCGGACCAAGAATTCAGGTTTGTGGGAGCACTGCATTGGTTTTTGGAAAAGACAGAGGAAGAAGGTAAATTATATATTTATATTATTCCTAACTAGACAAATATAAAAAATTAAAAAAAAAATGAATAATTGGAAAAATTGAAAAAAATTATATATTTATATTATAATGTATTTTTATTATAATAAAATTATCTTCATTTAATATCAACTAATGTGTTTTATCTTTTTATTACCTTCATTTGAAAAAAATATTTATTTTTTTGCATTATACTTTATTGAAAATATTAAATAATAATGCAAATTAGTGAACATTATACATTGAAAAAATAATATTATATATGGTTTTTTTCAATTTCAATTTCAATTTTCAATTTTTTGTGTAAAAAATAATTTCAATATTTTTTTTTTTTTTTTTGTGTTAAACAAACCAAACAGAGCCCAACGGCTCTTTATTACACTATTGATATATATGTTTTGATCAAGACAGATCAAAGCATCTAGAACTTCTCACTCTCTTCTCACTCTTCTCCTCCACGGCTCTTCCTCTCCCTCTCATTCTCACTCTTTCTCCTCCATGGCCGAAATCAAACACAGCACAAACCAAACCAAACAGAGCACAAGATCGAACCCGATCTCCCCTTCTCCTCCGAGATCGAAACCCCCTCCTCCATGATCGAAACCCAATCTCCCCCTTCTCCTCCAAGATCGGAACCCTCTCTCTCTGGTTTCACTCTGTGTCCATCTCAATTCTCACCTCCGATCTGTGTACTCTCCGGAATAATGGTACGATCTCCATCTATATACATACTCATATATATATATATATATGTTTTGATCTGTCTTCATATATATACATATATGTTTTTTTAATTTTTTCCTTCATCAATATATATATAATGTTCTAGACTCGATTTGTTCCTTCATCAATATATAAATATGAATTTTTTAATTTTTTAATTTGATCTGTCTTCAATTTTTTATATCTGTCATGAACAATTTTTTGATTATCCGGTATACAGAAATTTGCATTGATATATTTGTTTTGATATCTGAAACTGAAATTTGCTTGATTCTGAAAATTGGGTCTCCAACGGTCTGATTTTTGCTGATCTGGCAAGCTTGGCATTTGCCATTTCACTTTTGCCAACTTTGAGAACACACATGGCATCTGCCATCTTTGGCAAGTGAAATAGCAGACCGTTGGAGACTCATTTTTGCCATTCCTGTCATTTTTTAGCTTTGGCAACTGATATAGCAGAACCATTGGAGATGCTCTGTTTCAACCCGAATAATGGAATGGCCATTACCACTTGCTAGACCTTCTGACTTTGGTGGCTGATATTGTGACCATGGACGGTCTTATATTGCAAAATGATACGGTGACGTCCTTGGTTCAATATTGGTGGTATCTAGTTCCCATATTATGTGATATTTAGTAATCTCAAATATATGGATAGTTTCTATCTTATTATTATTCACCATTTGCTGTATGTCTTATTTGATCAAACCATTTGGAACAGTAACAGAACTGCAGAAGTTCGGACCAAGAATTCAGGTTTGTGGGAGCACTGCATTGGTTTTTGGAAAAGACAGAGGAAGAAGGTAAGGTACCCTTCATTTTCCTTTTCATGTATAGGATATGCATTGAAAGATTGAAACCAATGCTTCAATTTTTTATTTTTCCAGCATGTTACGTGGTTCTCGAGTTGTTGCATCTGATTTAAGAGGAGGGGTGTCACTGGTTTTGGCGGGATTGGCTGCAGAAGGAACTACTGAAATCAATGGGATCGCTCACATTGATCGGGGTTATGAAAATTTAGAGACGAAGCTTCAGCGTCTAGGAGCTGATGTCAAGCGATTGATTAACATTCCAAGCCCTCTGTAAATATTGACTGACTCGCTAAAGAAATTGATGATTGAGGCATCTATCTATCTATCTATCTATATTTATACTATATATTAAGCAATAAGCAATAAGCAATAAGCAAATATATATAAGCAAATGTAGTTATTATATCAAAACTCTCCAAATGTTTATTCGTAAATTCTCATAATTTTGGAATAAATAAATAAATATGTGGCATCTCTCTTTACCTCTCTTCTCATTATTTCCCAAGCAAATGTAGTTATTATATCAAAACTCTCCAAATGTTTATTTTTAAATTCTCATAATTTTGGAATAAATAAATAAATGTGGCATCTCTTTTCACTTCTCTTCTCACTATTCAGACCATTTCACTCTCTTTCCCAATTGTTCTATAAAAGATAATAATAAAAAAAACAATTAATATCTTTCCTTAGAGTTTTAGGAATAGATGTGTATAAAAATCCACATGTCTGTCACTATATCATGTAAATGTAAATTTAAAAAAAAAAAAAAAAAAAAAACCCCACAAATCTCACAACTCTTATTCCTAAGAGAAAATTAATCTAAGGTCATTCTCCCATTTTTAGTAATGGAAGAGATTCATAATATTATTTTATGATGTCTAAAGTCCTTCAACCCCACACCATGTATTACAGAGAAATTTGGTATACCTTACGACTTCAAACTTTCACCTCTCTCTCTCTCTCTCTCAGACTTACGAATCACCTCTTCTCTCTCTTCGCTGCTCTTCTCCCTCTCTCGTTGATCCAGCTCGATCAATTCCAAAAGCCCTATGTCAAGAACTCCTCGACCACTCTTGCTACAATTAAATCGTCGTATGAAGGTCTTCCACCGGTTTTTCAGCTGGTATCCTCTGCTGCTACATTTGGAATTGAAAATTCCTATCTTCGTAATGCTAGCTCTTTTGAGAGAGTTTAAGTTTGATGATCCCTTCACTAGAGCGAAAAGGATAGAGAGAGAGAGGGTGGGTTCGTCAGTGGTGAGAATCTTGTGTCACGACTCTCAGGAAAAACGGAAACTAGAAAACAAGTAATAATATTAACAATTACGCCCAAACAAACTCCATTGATTTCAGTTGCAGAGAAAAGCAGAGCTTTTTCAAGTCTAATCAATGATACAAGAGATAAGGATAGTAGTAAAGTTGGAAGATCAAATTCATTGTCAAGTGTAGTTCGCGAGGCTTCGACTGCAGCAAAAGGTTTGGAGTGTTCTAGAGAAGCCACCAGCCCGCAGCTAAAGGATTCAGTATGGGAAGAGTGAACTATGTTACACGGGTTTGAACTGCTTATCTGATATTTGGGCTATTGAGCCAGTTCATGTATCTGTTTCATAGATGTAGAATATATAACTGAGAACACAGTGTATCAGAGTATTTAATTCTTGTATTGATATCTTTTAAATGCTAATGACTTGAGAATGCTTTGTCTTTCTATAGACATCCCAGCTTTGTCCATTGCAAACTGACCCAAGTGAACTGATGAGTTAACTGCAAGAAAAAGAAAAATAAATAAATAAATAAATAAATAAATAATATAAATAAAGTGATAAATGTTATGTTGTGGATTATATTGATGATAGAAAATGTTTGTGAAATTTATAGATCTATATATATATATATATATATATATGTTGAAAAACAGAGCTTGTTATTACAATCAAAAGAAAATTATAATTATTACAAATTTCTCTGTACTTTTATGTGTTTTTTATTGAACATGTTATTTTTAGTCTACTTTTCTTGGCAACCAAACCAACTTTATACTTTATGATTCACTTGAAATCCAAAGAAAATTCAAAGAAAATCCCTAGATTGGAATTCAAAGAATTTCTCTAGCCTTTTCAAAATTTCTCTGGAGAGAAATTCTCCAAAAAGTCCAGAGTGTTCTCTAGATATATGTATATTGCTTGGATTGATGTTCATGGTAAGTGATTTTCCCCAAGAACTTTGTTGATGGTAGTGGAGTATTTGCAAAATTTCTCTGGTTTGGTTAATTTTCTCTGCCTTGTTTAATTTTTTTTTGTGGTGTTCAATTTTCTCTGGATAGATAGAGGGATTTGAATGTTGATCCAAAGAGATTTGATGTTAGTCCAGAGAAATTTGAATATTAGTCCAGAGAAATTTGTGAAAGGTTAAAGAGTTTTTGATGTTAGTCTAGAGATCCAGAGAAATTTGAATGTTAGTCTAGAGAAATTTGAAAAGTTCAAGGGTTTTTTATGTTAGTCCAGAGATCCAGAGAAATTTGATGTTAGTCCAGAGAAATTAGTCCAAAGAAATTTAAATGTGCAAATTCTTGAACCCAGAGAAATTCCAAGGATTGCTTTGCATGTTGAATTCATTATGAATATAGACATAAATATGGTTATTGGGTCAAGTCTCTTTTTGTAGTATAAGAATAATGTTGGATCAAATCACCGAAGCCATCAAACTGCAGACAACACAAGTGAATTTCTTTGGTTGGAGGGGATTTTCTCTGGAGTTGAGTAAATTTCTCTAGAGTGGAGAGGGAAATTTCTCTGGGTTAAATCCATAGAAATTCTCTGGTGAGATTTTCTCTGTGAATATGCATCCAAATCATTAAAGCTATCAAAACTGTAGAAAACACAAGTGAATTTCTTTAGTTTGAGGGGATTTTCTCTGGAGTTGAGTAAATTTCTCTAAGGTAAAGAGGAAAATTTCTTTTGGTTGAATCCAAAGAAATTCTTTGGTGAGATTTTCTCTGTGACGTGTCCAGAGAAATTTGGAATTTTCTCTGTCATTTGTCCAGAGAAATTCTCTGGATCGAATTTTCTCTAGATCAATATTGAGGGACCTTAGACATTTTGAAAATATTAAGTGTCCTTTATGCTATAAAATTTTAATACCAGGAACCTTAAAAAAAAATCCCCTATTCCTAACTGTTATATATAAATAAATAAAAAATTTTAAAATCAGATAATATCTTTCTGGGTGTCTATTTAAAATCCCAATTCAAAATTTTTGAATTTTTGCATTTAAAAAAAAATTACAAAATGCGAAACTCAATTTTTATTGGATCATGCTTCATTTTAAAAAAAATAAATAAACAAAAAATGATGAAAAAGGTCAAAAATAATAAATAAACAACCAGATAAGTGTTAGCATTTATCAGATAAATGTTTTCTTTTTTTAAAAAAATAAAATTATTGATTTGTATTTTAAAAAAACAAGATGTTAAAATTTTAAGTTTAAATTTTATCTTTAACTCCCAATCTCTATCCAAAAATTAAATTTGAATTTAAACACTAAACCTCCAAAATACATTATATTTAAAGTTTCCATATAAATTTGAACATCCACTAACAAAACCCAACATTGGAAACAAATCCCCAACAACATCCCTTTTTTTTCTTTTTTCTCTCTCTCTTAGCACACTGGTGATCATAAAAATTTCTATAAGGTATTAATATTTTATATCTCCTAACTTCAATAGTTTATTTATTTTTCCTCTCTAGGGAGGATTGTAATATACATGGAGAGTTACAAGCAATCCCTCGAGGTCAATCATTTTTTTAATTAAAATCTATTTAAAGTCATAAAATTCCATATAATTTTTTTTATCTTTATTCTATTGTATATTTTAACAATGGAACTTTTTAAGCAATATATTCAAATTCATATAAATTTACATACGGTCTAGATAGTTTTACACAAAATCTACTTAGGTCTATAAACTTTTTCATGCAATTGCTCTAAATTTATAGATCTTTGCATGTAATTTGTGATAGTACTAGAAAATAATTTTTATTGAATAATTCATGCATATTACAATTATCAGTCACTTCATTTTAACTCACTATAATAAATATATATATTATGCACATATTATGCATGTTTCTCAAATATATCATTTGTCCTATAATATTTGGTATAACTACTCCTATACATTTTTAGTTATTATTGATCTAATTATTAGTTATATATGATATCTTAAAAATTCATTGCAATGATTGATTGCAATTATTAAATCGATATATGTTTTTTTTATTCTTTTATATATATATATATATATATTTGTTTTATTTCTATTCTCACTTTTGTCTATTCTATTATTTATGTGAGAACTTTATTAATAAATTGTGTGGTATAAAAATTATCAATATTTAGTTTGAATAATTATTCATATATATATATATATATATATATGCTAGTTATTAGATATTATTCATATTGTTTAGTTTAAATATGAGATATTATGGCTCTTTTTATTAAATGATTAGTTTTATATTAAGATGTTTTTCTTCTTAAACTTATTTCCTTTCGAAAAAAAACTTGAGACTCCTTATGAGAAAAAAACTGATCAACTAATAGTATCAATTTGGAATCTATTGAATCATCATTTAATCATGTTTGCTAAATTTAAAAATTAAAACAACTATCTTATTGATATAAGTAACACAATTTAATAGAATTAGACATGACTACAATTCAATTATATCTATTGGCTAAATTTTAAAAATTAAAATTAAAAACATCTATTACATGGGGCATAATCCAATTGGGTTAAACATTTTGACTGTAACTTAATCATAACTATTTATTAAACTTAAAAAAAAAATTGAACAATAAAAATACTTATCTTATTCCACTACAAATAAAAAAATAAAAACACCTAATTTTTTTTAGATGGTGAAAACACTTAAATATTACATAAATTAATTGGCATATGTGGTGATGATCAATTGGGTCAGATATTTTACTATATTTCAATCATAACTATTTGATTATAAAAAATGTAATAAATATTAAAAAAAAATTAAAAATTTCATAATCATTAGACTATTTACCATGTTGCCCAATGTTCACTAAAAAAATAATAAATAAATAAAATTCTTATTGCATAAAGGTTCAAAATTTAGAGCACCCAACAAGATAAAGTCTAATTTTTTATGTATATTTTTCTAAAAATTACCACACTAAATCTCTATCATAATCAAAATCTACTAACTCCACCATATTAGATTCACACCACAACTAAAATCACATCTCTTTTTATCTTTCAAATTTAAATATTTTAAATAAAATTTTAAAAACAAAGAGAAATATAAATCAAGATTGTGCAATATATATACACTTTAAAAGGTTTTATTATTTTTAATTTATAAATAAAATTTTGACTCTCCTGTGCATAGCACAAGTTTTATGCTGGTATTATCTATCTATACCTATCTATACTATATCTATATAACCAAATGTAGTTGTTAGGTCAAAAGACTCCAAAACTTGAATCCTAAATTCTCATAATTTTGCAAAAATAAAATAAATACCTAGCACTTCTCTTTACCCCTGTTCTCACTATTCAAGGAGGTTTGGGGCTATTTTAGTCACAAAAAACAAAATAGGTTATTTTAGTCACAACAAACAAAACATCACATCCAACCCATAATCATTATACTATTCTCTCACAAAAAAGCTAAAAAAGTAAAAAAGCCAAAAAATTCTTCTCAAACCAAGTTTTTTAGGCCAGGTTAAAATAGCCAAAAA